CCAAGCCGTTGTCAAGGACAGAGAGGAAGGCAACCCTGGGGCATCAGCAAATCATCTCCAAGATCCTGACGAGAATCCTGACACTAAAGATTATGGCATTATGTATGCAGAGCTTGATTTGGAACCAGACACGTCCGGTAAGTTGCCTGAACACAAGGAGGAGCCGATAATGTATGCTAGCATCATGGACATGACGAAGTAGCTGATAACCACGACTTAAATGTTTTTTACTACGTCTTTACTAATACATATAAACTCGGCCAGCTGTTATGCATATACAAAAACTTTATAATATAAAGCATATATGGTAACCCTCTAGACCTTTAATGCCCTTGTAACTTGTGAGAAATTTGCGCCATATATTTTCTATTGTAATTTTTAGCAAGGTAATTATTAGTGCAGTTTCTATCCAAAAGCTATGTCCTTCATCACATCGGTTAGTAATTCGGACAATATTTTGAAGTTTAATTGTATTAATAAAAATAATAATAATTCTAACCAGCATTTACAAAGCCCACAAATCTACCTGAGAAATAGGCGCTCTTGGCGCTACAAAAGTAAAAGTAAATTATTGCAGTAAAATACAGGGGAAAATAGATCTGTTACAAGCTAGCGCCGTAAGCAAGGTTATAAAAGTATCTCTTGAGTGCCGTTTTGAAAGAGCTGAGAGATGTTCCAGACCAGATGTTCAAAGGGAAACTATTCTATACACTTTCTCATTTAGGTAAACTTAAATCTTTGACTTGAAACAATTCAGCTCAACAAACAAAAAAGCCTGATTGCATTACGCGTAATTCTTAATGAGTTGTATTTTCGATGCAGTATTCGCTTAGGTTTCTCGGCATCCGTTCTAACTATTCCAAATCCTCCAATCTCGATTTTACAATTGCCCACCACACATACTTAGAGGCTAGAGAAAAGAACTGTGGATTCACAGTATGGGATGAGGAAACATTGACAGAAATATCACTGAGCGCATATGGCCTACCTCAAACATTTTGTCGAATCTAGACTATGAAAACATTTGCTTTTCCGTTTACGTGGGATTGATGAACACGCAAGGCTTGTGAAGGAAAACAATTTCCTGTGAAAACTGCCAGCCAAGCCTTTTGTATTCCCTGAAAAAAATGAACTCTGCCATTTAAACAGAAAAGTACAGCATTTATGAAAATAGTCTCGGAGTAAAATCCTGTTAAACCTTTCTTTCAAAAGTATAGTTAGTCACTGTTAAAGTTTAAAACAAAATGATGCTTCCTCTTCGAATATGCGGTTAAAATCCAAGATGTGGTTTACTTATTTGAATTGTCTGTTCCAATATCTTGAATCATCCTATTAAAATGTTTTTAAGTAATATTCTTGACCAACAAACTAAGTCAATTTTTGTTCAAATTCAAAGACGAAGAGGAAAAATAGGCCTTGGTTAAATTACCCACGATAACTGCAGATATAGTTCAACACATTTACCGTTCAGGTTATTTACCCACGATAACTGCAGATATAGTTCAACACATTTACTATTCAGTTTATTTCCGCATGGGTCTCAATTCTGCGGCATTTCAAGCTTTTTAAAATCTGTACACACCTTGACCCCAAAAGCACAACCTCGCCAACAAGGGCTCACAATATAACTTTTATCCCTAATTCAATCCAACAATAGTAGCGAGGCGATACGAAAGACCCTGGAAATCCCCTGGAATTCCATCAACCCTGACAGGTCAGGTAGAGCATAAAAATCATACAATGAGCACATTAATCTCACTAATAAGGACCAGACACGACACGCAACGATGTACATGTATGGTCTAGTAATTCAACTGGGCCCCATGTGTGAGATGCATTGCATTGCACGTTTTGGTGGCTGTGATCTGTTGATTAGCACGACCGTGCGATTACGTTTCGCCATCAGCCGATCCTGTATGAAATATCCGACATTGTGGTCTTTTTGGAAAGCATCTTCACAGCCGAATTAGAAAGAAATTATATGGTTGAATTAAATATCAACAGATTGAGCGATTGTGTAGAAATCGCGGCGATCGTGCCAGGCGACTGATCACGCCCAACATCGTCATTATGTTGTAAATGACGTGCCAATTGTCATCCTTACACTTCGTACTTCAGTTTTCAAGAGATTGGTTAATCGGAGGGAATAAAAATCCGATGACTTCTCTAAGTTCCTCCATGTGGACACAAATAGGCTGACTTACGGTGTACTTGGTGAAAAAACTCACTCTTCAGAAGAACGAGTCAGTCCTCAAAGAACCAGACTGAAAACTACTCTTAAAAGACTAAAAACCACTCCGAAAGAGGAGCCATATAAACGACAACTCTTTCTCCGGTTGTCTGTCAGGACTACAATGTATATGGCTTTTTGAAAAAGATAAAAGGTTACTCTTTTGCCGTTTGGACAAATTAAAGAACTTAGGTGCGCGAAGCGTGTGAGAAACATGGGCTTTTAGGAAGCTGTTTGCAATGTAGGAGAATCTCCATTTGGGGGGGGGGGGTAGAGCAACGTGATCAAACAGTGGGAGTCTAGTACTAGACTGGCTCCAGTATTGGGCTAGCCCAGGTTGAACGCCAGTCTTCACTACATTACAACTGACAAGGAGTCCACCTGCGCTGGTGTGCGATTAGCTCTGTATGTACAGACGTGGGATTCTCCCATCTCCCAGACATCAAACGTTCGCTGGGATAGCGGCGACACGCCCTCCTTCTCAATTCTTTATATATGCATTACTGATGTCTTGGAGGTTGTTCTTTGTTATTTTAATCAAGTTTCAATGAATACACAAAAGGTTTACTTAAGCCTTACCAGTTGCAGAAAGCCCAATTGCCCTCCAACTCTAACTTAACCTCCACGTGCATGGGGCATGGTGGACCAACGTAGGCTATTAACTTTTCCACACGCATTTAGTGGGTTGGAAGTCACTCACCAAATTCTTGACGATGATGTCCAACTCTCGCTGCCTCGTGTTCCTTGAGCCTGCAGTGTCATCACATCGGTTCCAAATGTACAACGTATCCATTGCACCTTATATCGGAATAACAACCATAAGGTTTGAAGAATAAGTTGTTTCATTTCGAACTTTTTGCAAACAAAATAGGCATCTCGAACTGGACCGTGCGCTCGCATTCCCAACAAGCTCAGTCTCGAACCATAATCAGTTGTAATCTCACTTATAAACTTATTTTAAAACTATCTAGGCAAGTACCAAATTTTAACCTAAATTGCGGGTGGGAAATGCATTTTTAAAAATATGTACAAATGTAAAATACGCAAAAGTAAATGCTGAATTACAACAACGCAAAATTAATTTGCATCATTGCGCTGTAAGTCTAAAAGACAAAAATGTATCTATCCTTCCTGACTTACATAGCTGAAGTAGACTGTAATCGTGTGTTTACGGCAACAATAAGAGAACAAGGTTTTCGTAACTGTATAAAATGTTCATTTGCTTGGGTGACGAGCTTGGAACGCTTCAGTTTACAAATTACTTTGTAATTTGTTGATAGTTTTTCAAGTGTAGTAAATTGTACCCGTTACCATGGATACTGTATCATAATAGCACCTGCTTTTTTCGAATTTTTCAAGACCACTGTATTGAATTACAAAGACACTTTTGATTGTGCTTTTATATTTCATTGCAAATATTTTATTACACATATGACTTTCCCACATGTACACAGATTTGTAAATTGCATTATTAAATATGTACTCCAGCTACAAACACCTTTTGTTACTTGTAAACTAGCAGCTTTTAAATTGCAACGAAAGAATGGAATTTTAAGAAAAGACGGTGATATGTGAAATTGAAATGACAGTCATGTAGTAAGGTACTAACTTGGTTTAGCTTTGAATAACATGCTGGAAAATAATTTGCGACATTGCGAAGAGCATATTTCCAGGAACTTCTAGAAAAGCAGATTTCCTTAGGTTTTCCCAACATATTGCATCCACCAGCCCAAAACTTCATTTTTGCTTACAAAGAACATCTCCAGCAATATAGCTGAATCAACTTAGGCCAATGTAGTAAGTAGAAAAAAATCCAACTTATAATGTTGATAGATTTTGCCAGCAAGAGAAAGATGCTTGTGATTTTCCACAACACAGATATGGAAGAGTACGGAAGAGTACAATGAACTAAGCAGTAATGCTTGAACTCGCTGAACTCACTGTTATATTTATATTTCCTAGGCATGAAACCTCCAGGTCATCGGTTTCATTATAATTGGAAACTATTTTTCTGCTTTATAGAATTTACCTCATTTTGGCTTACTTCCTGATTGCATTTCAAAAGATATCACTGTAAAATGTATAAATTATAACCACATTAGATGGCCTGCTACTATGAAATGAAACAAAAACTGCAATATTCCTAGTTCAGATTTGGCTTTAGTCAATTTCCATATAAGTCAGGATCCTGAAAGTAACTACAACACCTGTAATAACGAGTTTCAATTCCTTGTTTGTATTTGATGTGTCCTCTGAAAATAAGGGCTTTCACCGTAACATTCCCCAACCACACAGAATTTAACACTGCAGTAAAGTGTTTAATTCTGTGGGGATAGGTCTGGTTGGCCCATAACAGCTGGCTTTTGCATTGGGTTTGGCATACCTTAGAAAAACGAAGTCCAACAGCCTCTGTGCACAAAGTCCCATATGGGTGTTAGGGCCAGCAACCCTTGGGGGTTAGGAATAAGTATATTTGCAATTCACAATTGATATGAGATTTTGAGTGCTCACATGTATACTTATATCTCTCTTGTTTTACAAACTAACAAAGTACTGAAACTAATGACCAAACAATTTAGACATTTCTCAGGTTGACTAAAAGATTATGGAAATCAAACAAGTCCACAACTGATCTGATCAATGAATGAATTTCAAATGTACCCCGTCTCTAGTTTTAGTCAGTAGTGTGTTTTTTTTCCTTGACACAGATGTATGCTGAACAAACGGACAACTAAAAAAAAAGACGGTCTGCTCAGTCAAAAAAAATTCCTATACAACCAGAATAGCCCAGTTTGGAAAATGTCTTTATTATATCACGAATAGTTAGTAGTAGTACTGTATAGTGAAGACTGGTTGTCCAGCTTGATTAATTAATTGATTAATTAATTTTCTACCGTAATGTGTGAAGCTGATGCCTAATAAATGCTACAGCAAGGTGATGGGATATTATTCCATGTAAAGTGTATCTGTATGGTGGCTTGTGACTGCCAACACAAAAATAAATAAGTAAATTCACAGCAGCACAGTGACAGAACAAGGTTCATTATTTATACAGGAATACAATGGAAAAGACAAAAGCTGGAGGCCTTCAACTATTGTTCCTGGAACTATACCACTGTTTCTGTGTAATGTTCGCAGTGCATGACTTACAATACTGACCATACAACAAAGTCCTTTTCCTTTACTCATTCCTTGAGGAACATGAGAAATTAACACTGAATCAAAAAAATATGAACCATCCTACATTTAATTTCTGAAATCCTAAAAAAACTCCAAATGATCTGCATTTGGTTTTCCCTGTTTTTCAGTCATATGATGAAAAAAACCACAGAAACAAAGGTGTGAATTCAAGGTATGAATTTCGAGGTTGAATGCTTTCTTAAAAAGACTTTCCTAAAGAGGAAGTTGATAAAATATAACATCTCCAAACGGTGTACAAGTACCTGCCTGAAAGGTTATAGGCTTGTGTTGGAAACGAAGACAATTATATACACGCCTGCATGAAATTCAATACAGGCAGTCAATAAGTCACTTAAATTGATTTTGTAAAACATACTTTATACATACAAGAATTTGTCTTTTGTTCAAGGCAAACAATGATATACATTTCTAATTGTGACAAACATTTCCAAGTAATAGATCTCCATATATCAACTGTAATACAGTACTCCGGCTGCACGAAAAAATGTGGATTGCTTCCGCCATTGGCAGAGAAGGTGTCATTGTTAGCACGTACAATGGATCCAGCTAAGGTCATTTATTGGCAAAGCGACGGTCACACAGGAAAAATCCATTGGGACAAGTTCCACACAAAAGCGATTTTGTGAGGAGCATATCAGCAGGATGTGAATACCTACCAAGGCATACACTCAAAGCTCCCCAGAAATCTACGAATCAGTGTATTGAAACTAGCACACATCAGCAACAGAAAAAGTTTCACTTCTACAAAATTCATTGATAACCGTTCTCTTCAAAATATTATGTGGAAGGAGATGTACCAAACACTGCCTCATACCTGGTACTGTCTCTGTAATCTTCTTTTAAGCCCAAGTTACTGACAGAGAGAAGGACATTACAATGTCAAAACACAACCAAAAGATTATTTTTACAAATAAATTGTACAATTTATTCGGCAGCCATAAGTACAGACGGGTTTTGTCTGCATTCAGTGTTACATCAAGTTCTGTGTGAAAGTGTACTTACATATACCAACATGAATACAGTTAACGCACTGGCAGCAAAGCATAGTTAAGACAGAACTTACTTGTTGGACACACGGATCATGTCATGTAAAATTAATAAGTATAACATAACAGTTAAGTGCTAGTTAATACCTTGAAATAAACCTGGTCTCTGTCAGTAACTTTAATCAGACATAAAATCTCCAAGTCTGAAGACATTTTCATTGCGGAAGGTGATTCACTGGACATTTATATTGTCAATAACATAATACTGATATTTTTTCACCAGTGTATGTCACATGTATAAATCACACATAGGTATGCATCTCTCTTACTGAAACATGATTAAGTACTGCTCAGATTTTGGAGAAGAAAAAGCTTATTCCATCCTCAGCTTTTCCTCAGCTCATTTCTTTCTACTTCTTGACGAACCTGATCCATAGTGTCCTGAGCCTGTTTGTTTCAATGATGACATATCTGCAAAATATACCCAAAGAGTTTTAAGAGACCAACCCTTATATTTTGTGTTTAGACATTCATCTGTGTGAAAAGCTAACAACCTCAGTCAGTAGTAAACAAGTATTTAAAACTTCCTGCAAAGGGAAAGAAGTGGTTAGCACAGCAAGCATCACTTGTGGAGATTGACAACCAAATGACAAAATTAATTAGGAAAAAATGGACACATTGACAACTCATCATGCCTATTCACTGTGAGGAATGTGAGTAATTCAATTCCTTGGGTTTTAAAAGACCAGATCCAACCAACAAATTGTCTGAGGAAACATACGGTCTGGCCAGTGGCATCTTTTAAAAGGTCACTCTAGCGGAGTCGAATTTTGGTTAGCGTTTGATTTCATACCCCAAGCAATAGTTTACTGATTTTCAATTATGGGGTTTAAAGAAAATAAAAACTGATATTAGAGTTTTTCAAAATAGATATCGAATCTGATTAGAAACTGAAAGACAAATTGTTTGAATTGGATCTGGACATTTTTCAGTGCATTTGTACAGGTGATGACTGTGTAGGAACAACTCGTGGCAAACCATGTGTCCTCATTTGGTGCAAGGTGTGGTGCAGACGTCATTCTGTGAGAATTCCAAACACAATGAGCACTCAGTTAAAGATCTTACTTCAGGAATAACAAAAGTTGGGTTGAGCAGGTTAATCATTTCTGCTGATCTTCCTCAAGGGAACCTGGGCTGAAGACAGAACGATCACCTGTCGTAGGTCGAAGGTTGCACAGTAAATAAAGAAAAATACGCCCATGATCAATCAATGCTCTCTGAAGACAAAAGCCCATTTAAACAAAAATAATGAAGTACTGGTCAATGGAAAAACGGGAATTTTGAATACGGAAGGTGACTTTGAGTATGAGAGGATAAGTTAGAGTAGATGTTAAGAATCTGAGACACATGAAGACAGCATCTACCAAATTGGGATACCTGCATCTTAAACTGGACATAAAACATAGTTACATGAACCACATCCTGCTGATGACAAAGTGAGCTATGGTCATTAACTCTCAAAAAAACAACACACTTGTTACATGTCACTGTGCATATCAGTATAAATATCAGCAGGTTAAAAGCAGGACTGCATAATGAGTGTGACAAGGATAGACAGACAGACAGAGAGACAGACATACAGACAGACAGACAGCAACACATTGTGACTAATGAAGGCACAAAGTATGAGTCTCTAGTCTCTACAATCATCAGCCTTCATCTATGCAGATACAACAATTTTAACACACAATGAAACACAGCCAAGACTGTGTAGTCGGCAAACAATGTAAACTAAGAAGTGGAGATGCATAGTTTGTGTCTTGTGCAACGGCAGCAAGCCTACTTTTCACTGATGCTAATCCACTCGGCTCCCTGGATGGATGGTCAGAGGAACCGCTACCAATGTGTAGAGAGACTGAACTCATAACTGATAAAACACCTGTCACGTAAGCAATTAATTAATACTTAATAATTAACAGGAGCCAACTGACAATATGCAATAATACATGTCAAAGTAAAAATATTTGTATTAAATATATACAATAAGGGTATTTTAATTATTTTGTTTGCACAGACTGTAGATGGAAATTATTTCAACTGCTGCAGTTTGACAGTGAATTTATTGTTATTAGTTACATTTTCTTCATTACTTTTTTGCAGGTTGACTTTTGGGAAATATGTGGGCACAACGATGATTCTATGTAAAAATGTGACAGCATGGGATTGTATTGACAATCAAGCTATAATTTCATCCAGTTTTGTTTTCACAAGTAACCTTTTTGTCTGTATTTCCAACATCTTAATGTTCCCTGGCTAGCTGAGTTCAGTCATGACAATGCTTTACAGCTCAAGAGTGATTACTCCCCTCATGTTGATCGATTGATTGCGGATTGATATATCAAGTTTCATACAAAGAATAGGTAGAGCACTTGTTTCCTGTACAATGATGTAATGTGAGATGTTTTAATATTAAGGTTTCTATAAAAACAAAGGCTGACAAGGAATTAGGATTATAGAACTGCCGTAAAATTAATATAATTCCTGCAAAATGGAGGGTTACGATTAGGTTACTCTGGAAATCTTTCCAGTAATGCAGCAGAACTGCAAGAAGCAAACCAGATTTTAAAAACTGCTGATGACATGCTTGATCTATTGATGCACTTAAAAAGCTTGATATATTAACAGCGCAAATTCAAATTTCCTGTTATTTTTCCCCGACGTGTTAATCGCTTCTTGACATCATTGTAAAGCACCATAAAAGATCTGTTCCATTGTTTTCTATTGGTGATAATTAATTGACTCTACAGGTGTTTTTATTGCATATTAGTTGGCAGCCACCATCACAGCAAACCAGGACTTACTAGCGCTGCTACGAGGTCTATTCAGAGCTTGGTAATCCAACTCCACATTCTCAACCGGAGGAAGACTTGTATTTCTAGCGTCAGATCTGCTACCCGTTTTGGCTTTATAGAGAGGGTAAGAAATGCGCATTTTGACCAAAACAAAAATTGGAAGCTGTATACTAGAGAGAAACAGTCATTCTGAAGGAAAAAGCTTCCACTTAACTTAAAGCATGCACTTGAGTAAATCTTCTCTAAGAGACAATGCACAACATACAAAACCTTGGTTCCAAAATGCTTGGCTAACAAGATCTGGTCAAAATCCATCATGTTTAGGTTCAGGTATGGAACTTAAATTTGTTAATAAGCCTTTTTTCAAGAGCAACAACTAACCAACAACTTGAATGATTTCAACAAATCTTTAACCATTTTCAGAGTTGTTGCATGAGCAGCTCACAACACTCTCACAAATCTTTGGTTATTTGCTGCTGAAATCCTTTTGATCACCTACTTTGTCTACTGCCTCCTGTGTTTGGCCTACTCAAGGGAGGAGACCCAGAAGCCTTTGGTGCAGGGGGAGGGGTCATTCCACGACTACTAGGTCGCCCCTTGGAAGAGATGGAATCACGAGGAATCTTGGGTCGACTGGCAAAGGCTAACTCATACTCACTCCTGCAAAATAAAACAGTCCATTTCAAATTGGATCTACGCTGTGAAGTAACTTGAAGCAGCTCTGACTGAATGGACATGTTTTGATTCCTGACGGATACTTACATGTACTTTGCGCTACTTGGTCCATTGGCACTGTTTACTGGTTTAGTTGATGGATTTCGCACTGTTTTGTTGTCCTGTCATGAAAGAAAAAACACCACAGTATTCAGGTCAGTGTTCTAGCTGGGATCATGTTAGTGCCGGGTAAATTTTTGGATTACAAAGCATAGTGAGTGCAGTTCTTAATGCTTTCTGATGCTTAAAATACGATCTTTTTTCGAATTGGTACATTTAAATTTTCAGTAATATTTCAGTTCATTTTTTGGAAAATCCATGCTGGATGGCACAGCCAATTTCAACCCTGAGTGTTGGGCGGAAATTTACAATACCAGGTGGTGCCACCCGGCGCCGTCCACTGTGGCTAGAACACTGATTCAGGTATTGAAAATCTTTTAGCAAGATAACTCAACTTGATATGGTTATGGTTAGCTACATCATCCATCCAGAACGGCAGTGTTACTGTTGAACCCATCATAAGTCCTCCTAAACTTCATTTCAACTCATCCAGTCATAAAAGTCAAGTCAAAACTTATTCAAACAAAGAGCGATTGTATCTGCAGCTGATGTTGAAAAGAGACTTCAGATGTCAGACATTTGATTTGAATTGTAATGGGCCGCACTAAACGTTTACATTTTACAGGTCTAAACAAGCTTGACAAAGTCAACTCTGGAAGTATAACAATAACCTGACTCACCACAGTTTCTCTTGAAACTGTCTTGCCTTTGTCAAGTTCCAATTCTACAAGAAAAAGGTGAAAAAGTTGTAAATAACTTAGGGTTGAAGAGTAAATGACTGTTCCTTCCAAACAGAATTTACAAACAGTACAATCAATATATTAGGATTTAAAACAAGAAACCTCGGCAAAAAGGAGAATATATCAGCAATCATATCCAGATTACTGTCTTCACCACAAGCAGGTAGGAATTGGACATGTGTTATTTTCTACTCAAAATATGTAAAGTACAACAAATGCAATTCACTTTATGAGTGAGAAACCAACCAGTCATGGTACTTCAACCACAGTGCCTTACCATTTGAGTCTCCAGCTGCAGCGACAGCTAGATGTGAATGTTGACTGCTATGACTACCACTCCGAGTTGGTGGTCTGACAACCTAGCAACAGTAGAAAACCATAGTAACAAGAGTCATGCAACAGGAGGTATACTTCCATTCTCACGGATAGTCAGATAATGTATTCTTCTTGTAAATCTTAAAGGTTACACTGGACTGGAAGAAAGCTTCGGGAAAGCTTTTATGTGCAGTTCCATAATAAAGGCAATGAAAAGAACACATGGAACTTCAAAATTGGATTTAATTAGATGTATCAAATGACTATTCTGGATAAGTGACTAACCTGTTCATTGGATTTACTGCCTGCTACAGGAATGCTGAAACAAAACGAACAAAGACAGAAGTTTGAAAGTATGGATTATACAAAAATATCCTGATAATCCCAGTCTGGCTTGGATGATTCTGACAGAAACTAGATGGACTCTGATGAGACTTGGAAAAGTGACAAATAAGATAAAATGAACTTTTCAAAAACACATGGCAGACAACAAGAAAGACAAAACACAGGCAAATACTTACTTCTGTCCATCAGAGACATCGACGGCTGAGTGTCGCTCTGAGGCAGCTGACCGTTGCACTGAGGTTGTCGCAGACTGGCGTTCTGATTCTGGTCTTGAAAATGGCTTCTCATCCATTGCAGCACCCTGAATATTGACAGAAATGAAAACAAAACCTCAACAAATGGCAACACAACCCCTAAAATTCATGTCAACATGCTTGACATCACAGACAGCAATTCCTGAAACATTCTCAACAAAAGGGAAATTGTAACTCTGAGTCAGTGATTTGAAGGCACCCTTTCTACCAGAACGCTCCATTTATGACAGGTGTTTTGTGCCATTATAATGAATGTCATTTAGACTTGTCTCCAGTCCCTTGTCTGTATTCTAGATTTCAATTGGAAATACCTCACTGGACCAATTTTTATAGAGCTGCCAAACAAAAAACTTTGCTTTAAAAATTAATGTACGAAAAACCGCTTTTCTTTGGATTTACACCAACATTCTGAAAATTCAGCTCAGGACAGAAGAGCATGTGAAAAATACATTACATGTGCCGCAAAACAACAGTAACCAGACAGAAATCACTAAGAACTATAATCAGAACAGGACACACACAAAGATTGGGAGTCACAGAGTCACACAGATAAACAGCACAAAGTGTGAGAATAACAAGTTGACAAATTACATGTACCAGAAAACAAATGCATCCATTTAGTAAAGAATACTCTTAAGTAGTTCAGGAAACCAAACAATTCATACGTTATTACGTCATTAAAACAAAAGACTTTCTGGGATCAAAAGTGTCACGTGATTAAAAAATGTTACAGGCATGGCTGGTATATACGACACCATTACAAAGAGATTGTTAATGAAATTTTTTGATATGAAAGAATAAACTTGACAAACTTTAGTTGTGAAAAAATCAAATAATTTGTACCGTGTACAATATTGGGTAAAAACAAAACAGGTATAGTTGTTACTCTCAGGGTGAGGGGTTTGTTGCTTCCATAATAGCTGTTTTACTCAATGTCGGTTACGTTAGGAACATATAACTTGAAATTAATAACACTGTACACGGACATGTTGGGTGGAATCACCAAGCAAGCCTGAGTGGGCGGGAAAACATGCAATATATGAATAATGCATTAAATATGAATAATGCATTAATTGTCCATTATGACAACAGTGAAAGGGAAGTGTAACACATACAACATCAGCCATCTGGGCTGTAAAATGATACACTGGAACATATACAAAGGTACGGTTAAAGAAACTTCCATGCTTGATTGGGTAATAGGATTTGAATAATGCATAGATATGAATAATGCATAAGCACAAGCTTAATGCTACCTTGTCCTCAGAGAGGCAAAGATATTGAGCATTGGTCAGCATCTGGAAATGAATAACCGGGTTAAATTAAAAACAATACGCAGGATTTGCCTCTTTGCACAATTCTTTCAAAGCCAAAAGCTTTTATTTCAAAGTTCTGTTGACCAAACACTAGATCAAACATTTGACGATGTGGGGCTTATGAAGCATCATGACACATGTGTTAAAAGCTACAATTATTACCAACACACTGCCATTAATCACTCACAGAAGATGAATATGGATGAGAAAACAATTACAAACACACTCTGGGCAAAAGAGAGGAGGTCAGCGGGTCACTCACAGCATTTCATAATTATAGAGCCACACACAATGTAAAAAGATATGAATAATTCAGCAAGAATGTAAACATTTGAATAATTTGAGAAATACATGAATAATTCATGCCTATTCTGTTGCTTACCCCTAGGTACTCTGTACTGAGCAGTTTCTCTCCTGCTAATTCTCCTGGCTTGGCTTTAATGGCTTCTGCTTTGTCCAAGTCTGCTTCCATTGCATCTTGGTCTTGATCCTCCTACCAAGAAGATTTCAGAATGTTAACAATGATTAAACACTGTAGCAGGAGTTGTCTCTTACAATGGGTAAATATATCCCTCCTGGGTATGTACTCTACAATATCCCCCCCGCCCGCCTCGTTCCTCTGCCTCCTGTTAAACAAACTACTTTCATTTCTTAGTCTTCTCTTACTTCTCCTTCCTCTTCCTCTTCTTCATCGTCTGATTCAACATCTTCGGTAACGACATCTAAGCCCAAAATACAAAACATGATTTCATTGCAAATACTCATTCATACAACCCACCATCTCAATCTGCTCATGCAGATTACTGTTTTGTTAATTCTAGCAGTGAACTAAAGACTTTCTCTTCTTCATTGATTCCATTTAGTACAAGTTTCATTTTCTGCTGTTCTTAACTTCTGCCAATTTTTAACACTAATTGCTCAAGCCTGTAGATAGTATGCCTTTTGATGGTTTCTCTCACAAACATCGATCCTTGGTTCAAATCTAATCAGAACCACCATGCTGGTTAGTATGTTGATGTTGTCATGCAAGATTTGAAAAGACTTTATTCTCTAAGCTTAGCATACTAATAAAGACTGTCTGTCAGTCCGTACCTGTGTTTAGTTGTTTGATAATGAAGTGAATCTGTCGGTTCATCTCAGGTGTATCCTCTTTGATGAAACATTTCAAAGTCTCCTCCATCCCCTAGAAATAATGGAATAATCCACAGTAAATCAAGCTAAAACGCAATCACTTATGCCAATATTAATTAAATCAAACCGTGATTACGATAGGAACATCCAGAGCTAGAAACACTTATGAGACGTTCTGTCTGCATTTCCTTGAAAATGGCATATAAACCCTCATCCTTGTAAAGCATCCATTCAAAGATGGAATTTCTTACCATTGCCTTTGCTTCTTCTCTTATTTCTTGCACAGAAAGGATGCTATACAGGGTTCCATTAACATAAGGACGGATCTGTAAGAGTAATGGAGTAATAATAAAATGTAATATGAGTAATTTTCTACCCAGAAAGGAAAATGAAACTTTATAAAAAGCATTTTTATGAAAAATCAAAATGAAATACAACATCAGGACTCTTGCCCAAAAAGCAGTACAAGCAATAACAACAGCCAACTTATTGTTAATCCTTCCCCAAGTCCTGTGGCTCTCTGTGGTCAAAGAATCCAAACCAATGCCTTTTCCTGTAATGGTCAAGGCCTTTGTCTCCTCAATGACTTGAGATACTCGGAATCCCTCACCTCTTGATCCTCGTGACCCAACAAGTCACTCAGAACCTTCAGTATGTTGGCTTTATCGCTGATGCATTTCGTCTTTCCTACAGAATGTAAAAAAATCACATCACAAGAAGATTGCATTCTGTGAAATCTTCTTGGGCACGATCTCCAACAATTTGCCAAATACTAAAATGTACATTTGTCGAAGTGTTGACAAGAAATTGGAAGAATTTCTTACCCGCTGTTCTGAGACACAGGTTCATCAAAAGAGCCACAGAATACTCCAGGGTATAATCAGACAAGGAGTCACTATCCTCTAGCACACTAATCAACCATTTGATAATTCCTGCATTAATCATTGATGTTTGTAGATGACGTCTATGGAAGAAAAACAGGAGGAATTCATTGGTATTGAAGTTGAGACCATCACAAGACCATCACAAGACAGGACACAAGACCAGACACAAGCAACAGTGTGAACAATAACAAAGGAATGATTTTGTTACAGTTCATTTGAATAGCTTGTGGCTTGAACTCAGACTAGAAGTCTTGTGTTGGCCTTGTGTGGTCTTATGAAGGTCTTAAAGTGCTCTTGGCTACAACACTGGAATTAATATTTCCCTAAAATTTCCAAACTATACAAAAAAAGAGAAATCAAAACCAAAACTGGCTGTCTAAAATCCCTTTACAATGGACACTTTTATTAGATTTTTAACAGCAACACCCTGTTAGCAATAATTCTCTTCCATGCACCCAACTTTGCAGATTCATAAAGCTTTAAATTTGACAGCAAGTAAAGTTGACTTACTTGAGGCTGAGTTTCTGCAATGCACCTAGTACATTCTCTCTGGTGATAGGATCCTTGTCTTCTGATTGCAAGGCCATCTGAAGGATAGATACAAGATTCTCATTCTTCCCAAGATAGTTCCTCCCTGTCAGGAAAAGATGAATTCATCATTATCATCCTCATACCTCCATCTCATAGCCTTTTCCCTTTTCCCTTTTCGCCTTTTCCCTTTTCGCCTTTTCCTTTTCAGCCTTTTCCTTTCAGCCTTTTCCCTTTCAGCCCTACTTTTTATATAAACTGAAGGTGTTCATAAATTTTTTTCCCCAGCAAACAGGAGTCACATTAAACTTTGCAAAAATGCCTTTATTCTGGAATAACTTCCTTCCACATATTTAAAAATTGTTTTCATGAAGGGAATTCAAAGCACGACTCTACCTGATGAGAGCGAAGCAAATGCATTGAAGAGTCTAGCCATATACTGCTGTGTCACCTCATCACCAGACTTCAGTGAATCCATTACAGCATCCTGTGTTAAATTGCAAAAGATAGGATTCAGACCCTAGCAAGAGGGTTGCTGGTATCAGTGTTTCTATACTCAAGTCTGTTTTCACACAGGCATTAATTTGCTTACAGCGTGGATATGCTATGTTATACACATCCTATCAACTGGAGGTCAGTAAGTTAAGGACTGCAGGTTATTCAAGAGCTTTCCCTATGTTCAATGTCCTTGGTACGTCCTAACAAATAATACCCTACGTTCAGTGTCCTTGGTACATCCTAACAAGTCATGCTTACGCTATGGTCAGCATCCTCGGCACATCCTAACAAATCATGCTTACCCTATGGTCAGTGTCCTTGGCACATCCTAACAAGTTATGCTTACCCTATGGTCAGTGTCCTCGGCACATCCTAACAAGTCATGCTGGATGTAGGCGGCTAGTACTGTATCTCTCTGCTCACCAGGTTCACTCCGTGTCAAACGCTTCAAATACAAGACAAAACAACAACTTGAATTTTTGACAGAATCCAATCTGTTAATACAAAGTACAAACCTCTCTGAAGAAAACGTCTGACTCACCCATCTTAGAGCTTGTAGCAATAGTTCTCGTTGTCTAGATGGAGCATTGATCATATCATTTTTCACTCTCTCGTAGTCTAGTGATGGTAACAATGGTACATCCTCCTTACTGTAATCCAAAGTGCAAACACATCGCACCAAATTAGTGATTCTACTTTCAGGGAAATCTTGGACTAAAAACTGACCAACAGTGCCTCTGTAATTGAAGTATGAACAGCTTTTTGTCACAAAGCTCCCACAGCAAGTAATATTTATGGAATTCAATTAAAGTAAATTTGCCCTGTAAACTTGTGCAATATACAAAGCAACAGAGCTACTTACACTGTATATGAGCAATGAGCTTGCAATTCCAAAAACATGTATTTCAGGAATTGTTCATGACACAATGAGAAATGTAATGCTCAAGAAACAAGTGAGTGAAAATAGTGATCACACTATACAGAATGCAACTGCACTTAAAATTAAAAGAACTCATGAACACCTGATACAAGAAATTATGCTGAGAAAAAAATGGATGCGGAAATATCAAATCCATAAAGGACATAATGATACAGATAAAAGTATTCTTCTGTGCAGATGGCTGACAACTACAAAAGAGGTTTTATCATGTCAGATGGCAAATGTTAGAAGTAACATTCGAATTTGATGTAAAAAGAGAATGCAATGTCTGGATAGTGTCTGAAAGCATGATGCTGCGACATGCCAGCTAAGCAGTGGATATAATGAACGGTTCATGTGATTACATACAAAGAACATTCATGAAATGAAAAACATTCACAACAGCAGAAGAAATTGCTGATAAAGTACCATCAGAGGGAGAACATTGGAACACATGAGGACTGATTTACCTTCTTTCCTCAGGAATTGGACTACATTGAGGGAAACACAAAGGGAATATGTGGACATGCATCACCATCATCATGCAAACAAATCAAACAAAATAATCCATTAGAAAATGAATCCACTGACCCCTGAAAATATAAAAGAATGAAATCATTACAACAGAAATTGTGCACAATATCATATCTCCAATTATTAAATGAAAGACCAATAAAACAACACTACCAGTCCCAATAACCCCCACTGTAGATAACAGGATGATTTCATATCTGAATGTGATACTGAAACGAAACATACCACAAAAAATGCCAAATTCATATTTTCAACCAAATTGCTTATTTTCAGCTATTATTCTTGTGCAGTAGTGTAGAATTAACATTATTTCACAGTACCTTGGAGGTGCAAATGAGGCACGGAACATTTCTCCAGCCTAAGAAATAAATAGAATAAAACAATACTAATTGGCCGAGTTTTTGATCAGACAACTTTTACCACACCAAAACTTGAAATTCATGTATTAATCGAATAATGTATCGTGATCTGCAAATACTTATTTCTTTCTTGAACCAAATAACCATTTTTAACAACCTTAGCATTGGAATTTATGAGCTGATAAAGGTCAAAGTTTAAAATCTGAATTCCTAGAATCCAGTATTTTCAAGATATGAGCAACTTTGTGCATCAGGTTTAAAAAACGAAAGCACAATGATGTCTGATACAGAATCAACAATTAACTACACAATCAAGAATCAACCACAAAATCAACTTACGGTGGATGGTCTGTTGACATCCACAGATTCACGAAGTTGATTGGAGAACAATCTCTGGCAAACCGTCTGTAAATATTCAGGTGTGACCTTGAATGGCACAAAAACATCAAAAACATAGAAAATATCAACTAATCTTTTTAAAATGATACAAGAAATTATGCAGCAATGCACATTAAACCAGTCAGAGTTTCAACCAGAGATGTATTTGAGTCCATCACAAGTCCCTGCTAGTCCCTGTAAGTCCACCACTCGTCATTCGGTCTTGCGCCAATTCACAAGCTGCTCAAATAAGCTGTGACAAAGGCATTCATTCGTAAGGACTTATTTATTATTTGACTGGACTTTTGACTGGACTTGTGATGGACTCGAATACACCACTAATTTCAACAGTATATGTACATGTATTCATAATCTACACCCAACAGATTGTATTGAACCAAAGATGACATTTTCACACAATTCTATTACTGATGGTAATGCAATGAAATGTTGGTCTACTCCTCAGAGATTAAGATTTTACTTTTTATTTGTCAACAAATAAAACTATTACACTAACCCATGATCAGCTGCATTGATAAGCAGCTTTCAGATTTTGTATATCGAATTAAAGTCAGTGATTTGAAAGTTGCAAAAATTGGTCTTTAGATAACTGCTTACCGGATCACCATTGATACAGCTTTCTAAAGAGTCGACAAGCTCTGCAGTAATTCCTATCAAATTGTGGTAATCCGCCTGAAAAAGAAATAAATAAGACCTCTGACCTCAACCACAATTCTACCCTCTACAAATGTCAGCATCATTCCTGGTAAGTTGGGGAAAGTGAACATTAAATAGCACTAACATATTGTGTTTTTTGTCTTTTGGCATACATGACACACGTGGAAAGAGGAAATGAAATAAAAACTTCCACTCGAAGTGAAATAACTGAGATTACCTGCAACTTGTTGTAGCGTTTGATGTAAGTCATACATCGCTTCTCTGCCTCCACCAAGTTCTGCTGTATTTGGTTCATTTGTTCCGCATTTTCTGAATATAAAATTAGAAAAGTCCTTTTAACAAGAGAAATGCCACATTCCAAATGGGAGGAAAACCAAATCATGAGGAAAAACTAAGTCCATGTATGTCTCAATTATAGATTCGGTCAGAGTTTCAGATCACAGACAAAAGGCAGTCCTCTGGCCAACCAACGTTGCACCCCCCAAAAAAAATTCATTTAACAAAAGAAATCTTTCTGTCAGTGACAAGACATGTACTTACTGTTATTTAGGTCTTGCTGTTTCAAACTCAGTCAAGAAAAGCAAATATGTAAGTGGGACATAAAAAAGAGACACAATTTGGTTTGTGACTCTCGCAACTTGTCTTTGGCCTTAATCTCTGGCCAAAATCATAAATGTAACACTGTACTTCTCAATTATGAGAACGAATTTGTGTGGATGAAACAAAATGTTTCCATTCTGCAAGACGAGAGTGTATTCAAAATGAGGAATATCCAGAACAGTCTGCTATAAACTAACAAGATAGTCATCTCATATGGTCAAGGATACATAGATCTCAAACAGCCTAGGCTGCGGATGGGCTGGCAATGTCAACATCAAAAATTTCTCCAGACGAATCTGTAAGTCTGGCACCCAGGAGTCTTGAAACAGTTCCTTGTAGGAAGGGTGCTTAGTTGGGTCTGGAACAAATGGAAGGGCATAGAACGGTAGAAATTCTGTGGTTTGGCTCAGCACAGCTCCACGCGATTCCAAGAAGGTCTTGAAAGCTAACATGGAGTCCTCCACTTTGATCTTGCTCTGAGGAATTAAGGATCAAGAGAGAAATGAAATTCTTGCTGATCAAATTCAATAATGAAGGACACTAAGCTTTATCTTTCTGTGCTGTAAGGATGAATTTGGAAAATAAAATTTCACAGAGCCTACACTTTACAAAATGGCAAATGGACTGCCCTATTCTCTAGATTGGAACAAGTCATATGACAAGGACATAGATGCCATCTGTACACACCTTTCTCTCTCCTCTCCTTTGTTGATTATACCTTCCATCCAACAACAGGAGGCGACATATAATTTATGCCGATGTTTTGAGTGTGCAGTAATAACATTTGGGCTTGAACTATTTTCATGAGTCGCAGAAACAAAATACCTCACCCTTCATCTTTTACTCTTGAACCAAACGTTTGCTTCAACAGATAGTTGGTATCTGATGGGGTAGATTAGCTTCAACAGATATGGTCACTCACCTGTTTGCCTGTGGTGAGTTGGTATTTGATGGGATAGATTAGCTTCTACAGATACCGTCACTCACCTTTTTGCCTGTGGTGAGTTGGTATTTGATGGGGTAGATTGCAAAGTAGATACTAAGATAAAACTCTAGCTTCTTGCAGACAGGGTCATTGGCCTTTACACTCTCAGGAATGTTCTCATCCCAGAGTTGGAAGAACTCCTTACGGGAACCAGCTTTAAAAAGCGACAGCAAGTTGGACTGGAAAAGATGAAGAAACTGGATATAAGATTCCAGGTCTTGAGACAGTGGCAAGAAGTTGACAAAGGTATGGGTCAGGTTTTGATGATTGGGAATAGGATGAGGTAAGATTGACTTTTGGAGTGATTTAGGATGCAATGGGATAGGTCATACTGGATTTGGGTAAGATGGCTTGGGGTGGTTATGTGTATTTGGGAAGGGTTAGATAGACTGAACCAATCCAGACGAGATTACTTGAATAACATACATGTAGTATGGTTTGCATTAGCAGATGAGGTTTGAATTGTACTGCTTGAGCTTCAGATTGAGCTGTTTCTACCTCCAGAGGGTACAGGTGGCTAAGTGGTTGTAACACTTGACCAGAGGGTTAGGGGTTCAAGTTGTGGCCTTGGGCAAGCCACTAAACTCCTGTTTGTCTCTCTCCACCAAGGAACAAAATGGGTACCGACATTAGCTGGGAAGTAACCTGCCATGAACTGGCACCCCAAGAGAGACATATTCTCAATTAAAGCTTGCCCAGGAAGCTGGAGTTAAACACCAGCCTGACGAGCTCAGAATAGACATGCTTATTCCTACCTGTAAGTCCTTCTTCTTCATATCCCATGGTCTCTTGGGAAGAGGTTTCAAATGTTTACCTCTCTCTCTGGCTTCTGACTCAAATGATTTCAATGTCGTCTTGAAGCTGCAGAACTCTAAATACTAGTAAAAATCACAAAATTCAAAAGCATCAAAACTGAAAAGGTCTCTTGTCAAGATAAAATGTGTTTTTCTTTTCTGACAAACTCCTCTTAACTGTACTCACCTCTTTAACAATGGAATTGAGATCATCTTCAAATGCAACCAGGGTGTTCCCCGATGCTCTATTAGATCCCATCATGACTGATGATATTCCACACTGATTGAAAGCTTTAAGCCAACATTAAAGTGTGATGAAATACTCTAACAGGGCATTTTGGCTGAGATTCAAACCTACAAAATCCAATCAAAATAAAGAATCAAAATGAAAAAGTAAGGAATTTGAGAAATTCTACTCTGCTGATGGGGGGGGACCTACAATGCGTCACAAGATCATAGCCAAATGTAACATTAGAAGCAATGTAAGTCGAGTCCTGACCACTCAGACTAACATGATTAACCCTACAACTGGCAATGTACGCCTACGCCCATCTGCCAATGTGAATATCATATTTTAAACAACTGAAAAACTAACGTCCATGATGGTAACATAGTCGCATGGTCCCTTATTAAGTTATTTCACTACTCACTGTGAAACCAATCTGACTTCAATACTGTAAGTGGTGAAATTAGGCAGTAATAGCGCACCTCACAACTCGGAGACTGTCCGTAAACTCAGAGAAGTCCCTCTATTCAGGGACAAAACCAGTCCCCCAAAAGAGGGAATTTCCCCGAAAGGAGGATAATTTTTGTCCAAGTGGGCTTGAGAAGCCTAACATTGCCATGGGGATCCTTTTAATGCCATAATTGGATTCAGCAGAAAGAGACAGCCAAGGCTGCTGTTTGAAAACTATTCTACCGTTTACTTCTTGAACTACCAGCAGAAGTATGCAGTGGGATAGAAAAGGCAGGGGAAAAGACCGTATCAGAACAATTGTTCTGGACATCAATTCTTTACATACATGTACATGTAGGCCTGTAGCTAATTGAGTGGCATGGCACAAAGTTCATAAAAAACAACTTAAATAATTTATACCTAGTGGAACATATGGGAGAAAAAAATTGATGACAGCACGTGGATGTATGTTTGACACAAGCCCACTAGGGACAAAATGTCCCCTTTTTAATAAGGGAACTAGTTTTTGTCTCCAAATAAAGGGACTTCTCCAAATTTAAAAACAGTCTCTGAGCTGTAATGTGCTCTTCGACCTGTCTACTGTTAGTGACCGGACCTGGCGACTATACGGTCACAGACGTTAATGAATGCATGAGTGAAAAAGATCATAGGCCTATAACTTAAGGCATGTAACATGTCAAACAAGCTGACTTGAACAACTGCCCTGTAAATTATCATCATGTGTCAAACATTTCTCTCGCAACTGAAATTTAACAATACCATGAAAGTAAAAATGCTGGTGTTTACACAATCAGTATCACCCACATTGTTGCCATTTACAAATATGGCAGAGTGGCTGACATGGCAGACACCAAACAGCCATACATGGAGTATCGTTCAAATAGACAACCAATTTTGTAGCGCTATCTAGCGTGACAAGCGTCCTTCGTTACGGAAATCAATCATGCATGACAATCCGCTATCACTCAGCTGTTCGATGATGGACATGCTGGACCTACTCATTCTGATTTAGCATGTTTAGGCAAAGTTTTCAACGGTTTCTCAGAAAATCTACACAGAAAACAGTGCCCTACCCTAAAATCGGAATTCTTACGAGTGTCATCAATGGCCAAAGGATCGATCCTAGTTCAATGAAAAATAAATGAAAACTAGACTACCTCGAGTGAGCTAGAGAGGGATGCGTACATGCATGGAGAAATAATTCCATGGTACATGCAAAGGCATTCGTATACAACCTCATTCTCAGTAAGATAATTTATTGTATGTTCGGTTTGAAAAGAACTATTCGGCTCTGTGTAAAAGAGATTTTCCGTGGTACCCTGTATATCAGGATTTTTGCATGTCTTATGGCATCGAAAAAGTTTGGTTACCAGGTTGATAAAAATCTGTGGGGAAAGATGGCGACTGGCGCGTCAAATCCAAATAATCCAGTCGTTTTTTTCGATATCTCTATCGGAGGACAGGTAACTTGTTGGGACAATGAAAAGTTTCTAAGCTCCGAAACTGCATTGGTGTTTTGAGTTTACCAGCGTTCTTTCATTTAGGTGAAACCCAGGCCGTTTTCCAATACTCGATTTGGGCTCCGTTTCAGGCTTCAAGTTCAACTGTTTTTTTTACTTCCTGACTTTGAGGTTGTAAGCGCAAAGTCTGAGTGCCACAAAATATCAAGTAAGATGCAAAAGAGCCAAACATTACCGTACTTCAATTTAAGTTAAACGCTTCAGGCCCATAATTGGGGATTTGATTTCCTACACGAAGCCTGAAACGGAGACGAATTGAGTATTGTAAAACGGCCCTGCATTACTGTACAATACACGTGACCATGTGCTACATGTATTGCGCGTGTGCCATTGTCTTGATATTGCTGTGAGTGTTGTGTGCAAAGATGCGCCTCGTAGCGCTTTCGGCGCTATGCGATCTTTGGTTGTGTGTTATGCGAAAATCAGTTTACGGATCATGATTCAGAACCAGAAACAGAATCAATTCTCTATTAGTGCAGATCATCAGCTTTGAATTTTTATTCCACAAAAGCCGCTTTAACCCTAACACTGCACTGTCCCAAATCCTCCGATTTCAATATGATTTTACATATACCCTATGGGGTTAGGGATAATATTCCTTCTTGTTTGAGATAAATCCTATAAAAATTAGCCTAGGCCTATGCTTAATTTTACTTTCAGAATAATATTCTTCTGATTTCCCCATTGCCATGACTGACTCATCATTTTCAATGAGGACAAAGGGCCTAACGTTAATTTAAAATAAGTTAGGTTGGGACTTTCAGGGGACTTTTAACTGTCTGATCTCAGATCGTGGTAGGAACAATATGAAAAATCACTCACTGGCTGTGTTTGTTTCACACGGACCTGGATCAGGTACAGTATGTCAGGATCAGCAATCCGTCATTGGACGTTGAGTCATTGATTTACTGACATCAAAACCCACATAGTGGATGGTGCGAACTAGCATTAGGATCACTGATCGAGATCCAGACGTGCTAGGTCAGTGTGAAACAAACAGGCCCACTGTGTATGTTCAGTGCCATGCTTATGCTTGTAAAACAGCAACCAACGTGAATAACAGGCAAGGTCGTGAAGTTGGGGACCGGTTCATAGTAAAGTACATGTACGTTATATGTATCTGTACATGATCATGTACAGATACATATAACGTACATGTATCTGTACATGATCATGATGTGTTCTGTTCACTGCCCAGTATGTTAAAACTTTATTTAGCAATTTATAGGCCTTAGGTAGGAGAAGGGACAGTGTATTCTATCAACATTGTTTCAACATGGTCGTGGTGGTCTATTGGTAATGTACCTCTATATCCCCCTATTTGTCAAGGAATGCCTGAATGCCTAACCTCCATCGTTACATTGAAGTATCGTCGATGCATGCTTTCCTGTCAGCTACCATCACAAAACTGCACACTTCACCACCTCCCTTTATAGCCAGTTTTGCTTTTCCCTTTTCTCAACAAAGCAAGGACCATGGCCAGAGTTCCTTTTTTTCCCCTTCATCCCACCCATACCCCTCCTAGCCTTTGGCAAAAACACATGGGCCAGACCGATTGTGGTACCGACAGTAGCTTGACCTTCATGCCTCACCAAAATTTTAAGAACATTTTTAAAATTCTTTTTCCCCCAGGATATTGGAAGAATGAAGATGGAATTATTTGCTGATGTTGTACCAAAGACTGCTGAAAATTTCAGACAGTTTTGCACCGGAGAATATAGGTATGCACATGTAGTTTCAAGGTTGATGCTGAAAGATTAGTGGATGATATCGTGAATCAGAGTAGTCATGATGTAGAGATGGTGACTCTGAGCAAGGCAATGGAAGAAACATTTTTGTCCATTTTGCTTATGTAAGAATTGGAATGCATTGTAAGACCTACATATCAGAAGGACCTTAAGGTATAGGATGGACTTTCTGTTTTTGTCTTGGTCAAGTTGGTGCATTACACTGGCCTGATACTGTTTTCCTGTGTAATTGATTTTACAGAGATGAAAAGTCAACCCCCATCGGTTACAAGGGAGCTACCTTTCACCGAGTTATCAAAGATTTTATGATCCAAGGAGGAGACTTCGTCAAGGTACAGAAATTAGACTGAATATGCCAAACTCCAAGAAAATTGCATTGTCTGCGTTTGAGCTTGTTGGCTTTGAGTAATGTAGCTTAATGTGGCAATAATACGTTGTTAACACCTCCTGTTTATCTGTTCAATTTCATCACTTAGGGGGATGGCTTAGGTTCTATGTGTATCTACCATGGAAATACCTTCCTAGATGAAAACTTCAAGATTAAACATGATGGACCAGGCATCCTGTCTATGGTATGTTAACGTAGCTGTGGATACTAACAATAAAAACGGTGCCACCTTCATCGTATGTCACTGAAGATGACGTTTCATCTTGTGCATGTACTTACATCTTAAGCTCTGGGCCAAAAGGTTTCACTCAGTGACTTGAATACTGCTGTTTGTTTGTTGCACATTCTCATTGATACCCAGAGGAAAGTTTGGAGGATTTTGCAAGACTGATGAAGAAAGCATAGCTCAGGCATCAAATGTTCACATTGGCCATAATCCTAAAAAAAATTGAAGTACAAGGATCTGTTCTAGTTTCCTGCCTAGTGATGTAATCTGGATTCAGAAGGAGCTTCAGGAAGGTACTGACAGTCATGTCTTGGAAGACAGGTTAAGATTGCTTTACTTTAAGTTCATTGAAGTAAGCTCTTAGAAAGATGACTTCATCTGCTGTGTTTTCTGTTTGTATGCAGGCCAACTCTGGACCCAACACAAATGGTTGCCAGTTCTTCATAACCTGTGCAAAGTGTGACTTCTTAGACACCAAACATGTTGTCTTTGGCAAGGTGATTGATGGGCTTCTGGTCATGAGGAAAATAGAGGTAGGTTGAAGTCTTCCCCCTTGTAATGTACGTCCACTCCGCTAGGGAAGTACACTACAATTTGCCAGAAAATCAGGGTTTGAATCAAATTCTAAATGGCTCAGACGGCTCTATTTGTAGACAAGTTATTTCGTGAATGATTTAAAGAAATCACCAACTATACTGATTGTCCTATTTTTCAGAGTGAATAATTAAACCATCAGGTCGTTAAAAAAATCATATGAATTATTCATTTACTTCTTTCCTACAGAATGTACCAACTGGATCTAACAACAAACCGAAGATACCCGTTATGATTTCACAGTGTGGAGAACTTTGAAGGTATTCACTGATTTGTCTGGAAGGACATCTTTGGAAAGATGTGCCAGTGCTAGCCTAAGACTTGTCTGTACCAAGACTTGTCTGGATCGGAGCGGACTATTAAGGGAGGTGATCCCCATTCCTGGCTATGGATTGACAATAGAGGACGCTGTTTAACAATTTTTGTCAAGCCGAGTATCAAGAGTTGCAACATGATTGCCACCAAACTACATGCTCTGCTGTACACATTATGAACAGCCATTTTGTTTCCAACATCTGAAGCTGGTGCTATTCTTTCAATATAAAGCTCAGTTCCATGCATGGCAGTTCACTTTTCAGCATCGCTGCAGTACAACAGTAGAGGGAGCTGTTCGTAACTGCTGGCATTGACTGACCATTCCTATGATGTCCCGCCAAGATTTGTCAATGCATCAGTTAACAGTTGTTGACCGCTGTGGTGAGGGAGAATGTCACATCCCACACCACAGCAGTTAACAATTTTGTCACACCTCTGTCTTTTTATCTTTTTATTTAAGGAATTTATCCAAAGAAACAAGCTCTGAATTTCAGAAGACGATAGGCCTAATGTCAAACTGTATAATTAACTGAACAGATGTAAACATCATCGTCTGCAAATGCCCTGTTCTGAAACTGGTGCGGGTACCAGTGGTACATGTAGTCTGGTTAGCGGTCTGTGCATTACCTTGTATGTATGCTGCAGGGTCGGGAATGAGTGTTGTATGAGCAATTTCATTGATCAAATTCCCTGGTAGCCTATACACAAAATGTATCCTGGGTACCACTGAAAACTGACTTCAGCACTACCTGCTGGCACGGACGTGTA